TTTAGTAAAAGAAATCGAATACCGAATAACGATAAATTTTAATAATAGGTGGACTACCTCATAAGTCGATTTGAAACAAAGGCAATAAAAAATCCGTAGATTATGCACAGCTGCTAGTGAAATATTGTTATCAGGAGTCACGTTTTCAAAAAAAACAAGCAAGCTATGTGATTCATGCTTAATGGAAGAATATAGACGAATATGATCCCAGGAAAGGATTGAAATAAGTTCATTATTTTCCGAATCGAAGATCCTGAAGAATAAACGAAAAACGTTACGAGACATATTTCTATAGCATAGCAACCAAGAATTTCAAAAAATTAAGCATTTGTTAAGCGTAATAATAAAAATAGAGTATTACTCAAGCTCTTTGGAGAGTAAAATATTGACTCTGGTACTTCTTTTTTGAAGTTCAAATGTCAGTATAGCAGAAAGATCCTCGTCGAGATTAGTATTTAATGCCACATTTCCTATGTACCCTACATAAGAAAATTGAATTTTTCGCATGAGCAAGTGGATATCGAGGGCTTAAATCCAGCGATCAAGTTAGAGCAGTGAAAAATACTAAAATAAAAATAAAAATTAGGCACAAACAATTTTTCCGATAGGTAAAAGTTAAATCAATATAATAAAGTATACATAAGAGCAGCATTATTTAAATGAGAAGGCTAGCAATTACGAGCAAACGCTATATGGAGAGGTACCAGGGAACATGTGGAGGTAGGGAACCGCTCGCTCAGAGGTTTCAAGTAGCCCGCCTTTATATAATTTTAAAAGCTCATTTCGCACTAATTCTAGCATGGACAGTATTTTCGGCGCTGTGAATTATAGTGTTTTTACGTTGATTAATATATTCTACAAATTTGTCCCAGGAGCTCGCGTTTCGGTGCGCAATGCTCTACCTCGTTGGCGTAGGGCTCTCTTCCATTGAGGATATTACGCTTAAGGGTTTACGGGTCGTTAAGGCATGTGATCATGTGTACATTGATGCGTACACTTCAATTCTTTCACACGGCATCGAAGAGATAGAAAAATTGATTGGAAGGTGCGTAAATAAAGCAGATCGAGAATGCGTTGAACAAACAAACGTCTTAATTGACTACGCGAAACAGAGCGACGTGGCCTTTTTGGTCGTTGGGGATCCACTTGCTGCCACGACTCACTTGGGTTTGTCTCCCTCTAGTAAGGATCTAACGGCTCTGTTTAGACCTACTTACTAGGTGTCTTGAGTCAAATGTCCCTGTCAAAGTGATCCATAACGCGTCTATACTGAACGCCGCTGGTTGTTGTGGGCTTCAACTCTATGAATTCGGTGAGACAGTGTCAATACCATTTTGGAACGAACTGGGAAGGCCAGAGAGCTTCTTTGATAAAATAGAGCATAACTACATGCGCGGCCTACACACGCTCTGCCTTCTTGACATTCAGGTATTTGCAACTTTGTTTCTCAATGCATACTCAGGTGAAGGAGAAGTCCATAGAAAACATATTGAGACGACGTGACGTCTTTGAGCCCCCCCGTTATATGGTCTGTCAGCAGGCTGCCGAGCAGTTGCTGCAGACCGCTTCTCGTCGCAGCGAAGCCTCAAAAGTCCCTCGTGTCGAAACTGCCATGCACGCTATTGTAACCCCACCGCCAATCCTGACACCTGAGTGCTTAGTTATTGGTCTTGCTAGAGTCGGCTCTGACAATTGCGTCATTACGCTCAGCACGCTTTATGAGATGGCTCGTCCAAATGATGCAGTGCCTACACCCATTAGCCAACTTCTAAATGGTCCACTGCACTCTCTTATAATCCCTGGTAGACTACAGCCTCTAGAAATTGAATGGCTTATGGCTAGAGAGCGCTACTCAGGAAACCATAAAGGTGATGATTTACCCCATATCCTCATCTCCTTTGAGGGTGAACCCGCCACTCCATTTGACGCATTCTGTTCTGAGGAAATCAAGAGGAGACGAAAGATGATTATTGACTCAATGTTTTCTTATCATTGCAAGCATGCGATTAAATCTGTGGTACGTGGTAGCGACTAACTATACCAGTTAAATTTAAAGGTTTATTCTTCAATATTTATCACACTTTATATTTCCCATTATATTGAAACAAGGCACAAATGTGTATCTTATTATATTTTTAAAGAATAAGGAATCTAGACCTGAAAGACTTGTCAACTAAAGTCCGAGTTTTCCACGTCGACAATTGCTCTGTCTAGCTCCTTTGGCAGCTTTCCAACTAGGTCTCCGAGGGCGTGTGTGACCAAAAGCTTCTGCCGAAGGACTTTCATTATTTCCGATAAAAACCAGAGTTTATCCATCAAGATTTTTGATTGCACTTGGCTGCCGTAATAGGGCAATAGTCCATTTGATAGATGCATGTCCCTGGAAATCTCGCCTAAGCGCGATTCTATTATTACAAGCAGCTTTCTAACTAGATTTTGTGAAACAGTAAAACTTAAGTGTATGCTGTGCAGAGCGGTCTTGATGCCTTTAGCGCATTCCATAAACCTGCCGAGACTTTTGTCTGCCTCATTTCGGCCTGCACATACGTTAATGCTGTAATGGACAGCTGTGTCGAGCCATTCTTTTGCATCACGTGGTCCTTTGGTTGAATCGGAAGTGGATGCCGGTCCGATAGAATTAGGAGACGTCGTATTGCATGGTGAGAAAAATTGGCTAGACATATTTGAAGCTTGCGGTAGAGTTGGGCGCAGGGTATCGAGTATAAATGGTGCAAGGTTGGTGAGTGAGAAGGTGCTCGATTTCCGTTTGTCACGAGGAAATATCGTGGAATATGAAGATCTGAATTAAGATCAAAGAAAAAACTATAAGATTAACTAGTGTAACATTTAATATCCTGGCCCGGGCTCCTTCCATCAGAGCTACATGATTTGGGGACGATAGATATTGGACAAGTCATTGATAGAGGTCTTCTCGCTAAGATCTGGTCAAACATCTGGCGTAACGTAAAGTGGCGGCTAACATTAAGCTTTTTCTCTCGATTCATCAAGACGAATGAACACTCCCACCATAGAAGGCACTAACATTGCTCGAGCTTAGGAGGGCTGGAGGAGCCAGACTGTGGGTGTCAAGCCTTAAAAAAGGTATGTGATTATAATGCCTCGGTGTAGCCTAAGTATAGGTCCTGGCTTCCAGAATTGAGCCTTCACACCATTCATACGAAAAGGTGGCTCTTGTGACCCATGCAAGCCATGTTTCAGCAGATCAGGACTCATTAGAAAATGATTGGGCAGTTGTTATCAGGGGTACAACAATTCTTCAGTGCATTACGCATTAATTTCGTTATTCAATAGAAGCATAATAATATAAAAGCTTGTTCTCAATTAGCACCTGCATGCGGGGAACGCAATGATACTTGGGATTCTCTCGGCCCTGTAACTCCATGGTAGATCGACGGTAGAAACATCGACTCTGAGAAAAAAAAGAAAAGGCCTTAAGCATGAAAAATGGGTAGGTTTATCTTGTGTCAGTTTTTCAACGCTAAGCGATATATCAAGGAAAAAAGTAAAATCTCTCAAGTTGTATCGGTGGAATCAAACGCTTAAGTAAGATATCGCTCCTCGCATATGCTTTAATTTGGCCCAAATTTTAATTAAAATAAAATCGTTTGCATCCTAATCATAGGTACTCTGGTCGCGTTTCGTGTTTGACTAAAAATGTGCCATGTGAATTTGCCTATAAATTAGATATGTCTGATGCAACTCTAGTTAGTCCCTTATTGTCTGTACTGCCGACTTGATGTCACTCTTTAAGATAATAAAAGTAAAAATTTACGTTGGGAATTCATTTTGTGTCGTCACTAGGACGGTTAGAAAGATAATAATACGTGATAGTGGTTGTGGATTGATATTTAATCGCAGCGCCCTAAATAAAAGAGGTTTCGCTATGCGCCTAGTGAATAAACGAGGACTTGCACTTTTACTAATAAATTGAATTTGAGTAATCACCCAAAAGTGACATGGCCGCACGAGACCGAAAACTGGAGGGAGCTAACCCATCTTTACGGAACGAAGGGGCGTGTTAGGTAACTGAAATGACAATGTAAAAAGAGCTGGTATTGACTGTTCAACCATAGCTATTAAGTGCAAGGCAGTATTAATAAAATTTGACAATGAAGTAGTATTATTCACAAAATGGATTGGATAAATATTGGAATCGGCCAATATGCATGTGACTAAGGCTAGCTAATGCTCATATAACAGTCCTTATTTTGAAAATAGGACCGCCGAAAATTTTATTCGAAGCACAAATTAGATTAAGTCTGCCCACTCCTTAGTAAATATAGAATTCAGATCGAAACTTGCTATATTAATATGAGTGGGTTGACCTCGTTGTCGCAACCTGGTCTTGTTCTCAAGGAGACCATGTAGAACGCACCTAGTCCGAAGTCGTCTGTCATAGTAGTTGTCAAGATTCCCAGCATCTTACAATGGACTTGATACATTCTCAAACGTTTCGCCGGCATCGTAGTCGGCATCATCAGTAAGTTTTGTCATTCACCGCACCAAGCTACGAACTCGTCAGAGACAAGTGAAGCCAATCCCTCGACAAACGTTCTGTCGAAAACGGTTACAGTATCACTCTGACGAGTTCGTAGCTTGGTGGGGCGAATGGCAAAACTCAC